ATTAGAGGATCACTTTTGCAGGGGTAATAATCCATTCAAAAAAATAAATAAAAATAATAATTTGGTCACTCAATTAATCGCTTTGCAAGTGAGAGACCTGAGTTCAATTCCAGGCAGAGGGCGAAACCTTGGGCAAGTTTCCTTACTCCACACAGAGCCTAATAATAATCCCTCCAAAAACCAAAAACAATAATAAATTGGTCATTTTCAATCTACGACTGTTTGTGGGACATTGCTGTGCGCAATTGGCTGCCGCGTTCGCCCACAAATATACAGTCAATTCACTTTGCAGTATGTTCTGTGAAGCGCTTTGGGACGTCCTCCCGACGTGAAAAGCGCTATATCAAATGCAAGGATTATTATTATTATTATTAATCATGTTTGTGGGACACTGCTGTGCACAATCGGCTGCCGCGTTTCATTCACAAAAAATAGTCAATTCACTCTACAGTATATTCTGTGAAGCGCTTTCAGATGTCTCAAAGACATGATAAAGCGTTATATAAAATGCAAGGATTATTATTATTATAATGAGATGAGACTGAATTGGTATAATGCCCACAGTATAAATGACAGCTTTTAATGATAAGCTTGTCTTTCAGTTCCTCAAAGGCCATATATATTTGCAGGTCAAACCAATCTCTTACTGTTGAAGGCTTGATTCTTTATCTTACTTTTATTCACAATTGTCACTTTATTAATTTATTCTTTGGATTTTATGTCACAACACCAAATCTTGCCCTTTCCATCCTCAATATATTGAAGTCAAACCTCATCATGCTGTCTCCCCTACTCTTTCCAGGACCTTAAATATTGTGAAACTCGTCACACAATCGACATGCTTTTAAACCACAAGCATGGCATTAACTACTTATTTAGCTTGGCTGATGTCCCATGCTACACTTCAACCTTGATGGTGTGCTGGCCCCAGTCCATCGAACAGGTTCTGAATAACTCATGAAAAATGTGAGAAGTCCTTCAGAAGACTTTTACATAAGATTTTCAGTAATCTGACCATATATATGAGCATGGGAATCTCGACAAAAATATTTTTTTCTTCAAACCAGTATTTGAAGTGTCTCCAGAAAGTGAAGTAATTTTGCTTCACTGCCATGTCACCAATAACATTGTGCCGGTGTTCTTTGCAACTGGATATCCTGTGGGCACTTACAGCTCTTCTCTGAATGAACCTGCGTGCCATTCGAATGCGACTGCTCTTAGTGAGTGAGTGGGTTTTGCCAGCTGTCTGCCAAACTGCTGGAGGAGCGCTTTATAGCGATGAAGTGCTGCTGCTGTTCCTTTTTGGAGAGGCTATGGAATGAGAAAGTGAGAAGATCGGAAAAGACTAAGCCTGCCCTGCTGCTCTTATTAGCTATTTGTGGAACCATACGTGAAACCAATTGTAATGCAGTCACAGTGCACACAATTGCATACTTTCCCAGCAACAGTGGCAAAGGGAGATCGCTGTTCGAATTTAATGGGACAAAGTAACAGGGTGTGAATGTCAAACTAACAATCCCCATTGAAAGATAATTAAGTGCACAATAAAACACTGTATTCAATGAGGAATGTATAAAAACAAATGTACTTTTATTGAAGCAGAAGTTTATTGAAACAGCAACAAGCTGAGAGTGCATAAGGTCCAGTGATTGCACTGTTGGCGATTGGGAAAGCTTTCATCTCTGATTTGGGAAACTTACAATCTGAACAATCTGAACTAAACTTATATAGAGTCTATAATAATCCTTGCATTTGATAGTTATCACGTCGTTGAGATGTCTCAAAGCGCCTCACAGAATGTACTGTAAAGAGAATTCACTATATTTTATGGGCGAAACGCGACATCCAATTGCGCACAGCAATGTACGCAACGCAAGTTTATGAAAACTACCAACTAACATTCAGTAATCCACAGGCGAAGAGTGGAGCATGCTGAATCTAATTGATAACTATTGTACTGCTATAGTACCCAAAGGTAATAAGAAAAGATGACAAAGGATATTCCTTTCAATACCTGTAGGAGGTAATCTATTTGAGAATCACTGAGAAAAAAATGGCAAATGGTCAGCAAAGACTTAGAATTACAAGAGTACTTTATACAGTGCTGTGCTTCCTCGATCATCTGATATAGAAGCACAGGAGGTGTAAGGTCAGAGTTATACTCAATATGCAGTTCAGCGACTAGTCTCCACAGATAGTGACACATCACACTTAATGTGTGAAGTCTCTGCATGGACTGCTGATTATATCATTCAGCACACACACTCATGCACACCCCTTGGGAAAAAAATTCTAGAGATAAAGGATTCTACAAGAACCTCGCATAGCTTTCTGTGACTTGGAAAAAGTTCAGAGTTGGAATCCTGTTACAATTGGAACAAAAAAAAAAGGAATTTATTTCATTCTACTCAAATACATTTTAAAACGACTTGGTGAATGTGGGATGGATCGACGGATATTAAAACAGTGCCACCTCCTGGAGGTTGAAAAGCATTGCACAGATGCAGTATATCTCTTTGCCATGAATGTATGCGATTATTTATTAGATTAGAACAATGCCTCAAATAAATACTAATCAAAATCAACCAAGTAGGGTTCAACACAACAGCAGAGGAATGAACCTGATAGTTATTTAACTATCAAAGGCTTGCTGCAGAACACAATCAGAACCCACCAGTAATGACATTACTTAATCACAATTAAGTGCAGAAACACAAATACAGATTTTTGTTTTTTTGCTGACAGGACAATACACCATGACATTTAGACGGCACTTTATCTTTCCAGAGATCATGTACGATATACTTTAGCCATGACTACCCTAAACAATCACTGAAATTCTGCATAAACGTTAAGATTTCCAATGGCAATCGACTAAAAGTTCAGAATATGCAGCAGTTTCCATTGTTCAACTCTTGGCCTGCTGTTCTTCACAGACAAAAGAATTCTTAACATTGATCATCAGTTAGAAACATGCAGCATGGTGAAGACAGACACTCAGTGGTCAGTCAGAAAGATCTTATGATAAACATCGCCACTTGTGAGGTTGCCCCCACCCTCCTCGGTGTTGTCCAGTCAGCCTCACATGGGGACTGATTCATCTCACTATTACTGAAAGGTAGGTATTAATTGTCTCTGTGCTACTCAGTCAAACCACCTGAGGTTCTTGGGTAGGAAGCACAGGATGGGGACCTGAGAAACTGTCAGACCTGTCACCGTTTGGGTGGCTTCCAGAACCCCCCATGTATAAGGCTGGAGGCAGACAGGACCACAATTCAAGTGAAAGCGTTCCCTTATGGCCACATTCGCACTAATACTTATCTGAAAGGGAGGGATAGCATTTATATAACTGCTGGCTGTACTGTATATAATTATCATGAGGACTGAGAAACAAAAGCAGTGATCCTTAAAAAAACTATGACCCGCTGAGTCCGAATTTGATCCCATCTGTGCCACGTTAGCTTCTCAGCCAGGGGCAGAAATAGGCCCCAAAATGGTCTCAGTGCCTTGGGCAACATTGAGACGGCCCCTTCTGCAAAGCACCTGTAAGGCAAGACTTGGCTGTGATTAAGCTTGTGTCTGCTCATTTTCACCGGGTCACCACACGGAAAATAGCTATTAGGGTGAGGTTGTTGAGCAGTCATCATTGACTGAACTAAACTATGGCGTCAGACAGCACCACTAGGAGACAAGTGAGAAATCAACTGCAGATCTGCTTTATTAATATGCAATAAACCTACAATTAGATAAGCGTATAAAACAACTACTTGCACTTATGGAGCGTCTTTCACACTGGGCAGCCTCTCGGAGCTTAAAATCACATGCCACAATATTCCCAAATCGTTTGTATTTCACCAAAAACTGTATCACTATGCATTTCCTATTCCACATACATACACGAGCTTGTGTATATGGAATAGGAAATGCATTTACCAAATAGCTGTAGTCACCAAGGAAAATTCATTCAGGTTTGAATCAATGTACGACTAGGAAGACTGAGAAAAGTGCTGGTCTGAGATGGGTGAGCAGAGGGCAGTGTTTCAGCTGCTACACTAAACATTTTAATTCAGAAATCGGAGGCATTTGTGATATCTTGTGACCGAATGCCACACATCTCAGCTCTCTCGTGCTGACAGGTGCCAGTACATAAGATTTTTGTTTCAAGGTCAGTCACTTTCTCTGTGCATGTGTGCGTGAGAGAGTGAGAGCGAGCGAGAGAGAAGCCTTCTTCTAGGTTTTAAAAATGAATGCCCTGGCCTCAACACCCCTGGGTTAGAGCGAGATGAAAGTCAGCCAAGCTCTTCATCACTTTCCAGGATTGTTGGGTGTGGATTTTGGGCGAAGACATGATCAGGTTCAGCTGTTATGCCCATTCCAGTTGAACAACTAGGCAACATTCATAGTAGAGGCATACAATGTACAGAGAGCTGCCAAATGGGTGCACTCTCTAGCCCCTGTAAACAGACGAGAATGTTATAGTTTCGGCACCATCTGAAGCATGTAAATGCTGGCACAGGGCATTAGAAAGTTACAGTACATTCAGGCGGTTCTAGCAGAATTATCAAATAAAAAAGATAATAAAAATATAATAATAATCCTTGCATTTGATATACTGCCTTATCACGTCATTGAGACATCTCAAAGCGTTTCACAGAATATTGTATTGTAAAGTGGATTGACTGTGTATTTTGCGGGTGAAACAATGTACAGATCAAAAAAATCAACGGATGTTACAAAGAGTGTGCTGTAATGCAAAGCTTGAAGCAATGGTTAGAAAAGAAAAACACCAGTAAATGCTCATCAAGTGTAACCTACAGTTTCAATAAGCTTTTGCTTCACCCTCCATGTAGAGTAGAAGTGATTACACAAAAACCACAAAGGCAAATATTTCAAAATAAATGTAACTGAGTGTAGCTGAGCTAAGGATTTATCTGGCTTCCTTTTCAGGATATCATCAGAATTTAAATAGACCAGTACAAATGATCTCGAAAAGCATGTTGTTCCTTTGAAGACGATTTTCTTTTTATTTTATGAAAATGTTACAAAAACATCACATTAACGAGGGCATTTTCTTTTCTACACAACAGCCAACACTATACTATTATTCAGTGTGGGTTAATCTCGATCCAGTCATAAGGGAATTCAAACAGGTTATTCTTTTATCTGTGTGTTTATTTTAAGATGAGCTGCGTATTGCAAGTGGGAGAATCACATGCACTCATTGTCGTCCCTAGGCAGAACGTACGTCAAGTAAAAGAATGATCAATCAGTACTCAAATGCAATAAAGTGTTCTTAACATTTCAGCAAGAGTGTTCAATGTTCCCAAAGCCACCTCCACAAAGCGCCTTGATTGCATCCTTTCCATCCTGACCCTTGCTTTTTCACCCCTAACGTCAAACCCAAATCATTTTTTTCTCCTTCTTCCTTGCAGCAAGGACTGACAGGTGAGAACGAAGCCCTTGAAAATCATCCTCTTCAATTCCCTTCATACGCATCAACCAGACAAGCCTGGGTGATTTCTAGCTACAAACTGAGAAATTACCATTTGAAAAAAGTGCCATCAGACGGTCTGTCTCGAGGGTGAAAATTAAAATCTTCTACCTTGGAAGATCCATAGGGAATTCATATTCACAGAATTTCAACCCCCATCATCAGAGGAGATTGCCATAGAACTGACATCTTCTCATTTCATCAGTCTAATGCTAATTTTAATAGTACATGTCTAACTTTAATAGAGAAACAGGTTTGAGCAATGCAGTATGTCCATCTTACAATGCAGTACTTTCAACTACAGTATTTCAATGTATTGCAAATGTACCAAAATAAATTTACACATAATTAGTTCTAGAAACTGCGCAAGCTAAAATTCCAAACGATAAAACCTTCTGGCTTCACTTAAACCTACATTCCATACTTTTAAATGCAAATATTTGGAAAACTCCTTAAATAGATAAGACACTCCATGGTTAAATTTTGAATGTGGAATTTGTGTAAGGAGTTAGGTGCATCAAATCACTTGCCTATGATGAAGTTTAGAGTGATTTGTGCAGCTTCTCCCTTCATGTTTGAGATGAATCTATTGAATGTTTTGGTCATATCCTGAAGGTACCAATCGTGGTTGGGGGTATGTTGGTGGCAGCCCTCACAACAACTCGTTCAAGAGCTCATTTCTCATATATGAATGAGTTTTGCCCACAACATATACAGTCAATTCACTTTACAGTACATTGTGTGAAGCGCTTTGAGACGTCTCGAACACGTGATAAAGCACTATATCAAGTGCAAAGATTATTATTACTACATGAGCCCAGGCAACAGTTGTTGGCAGACAATTCGACAATGGAGGATATCAATTTCCTGCCCCTACCTTTTACCCACTCAACGTGCACACAGTTGAACTTCCCAGGAGTCAGTGGATAGAAATCTGACAAATGTTTACTCAAAGGCAATGAGGTCAATTGTCACAAAAGTATATTTTAACAAATCTTACCGAGCTCTTTGAGTTTCTAATAATTACAAACTTTAAAAACGTAGCCTCACTAGATAGACGGATTCTGTGGATCAGTTACGGAGCAGGCAACCTAAGATCTGCCATTAAAGCTTAAACTCAGCGCTGCAAACAAAGCCCTGATGTCTATTTATACTTCAATCATTCAGAAACTAAAAGGTTACTTTTTTTCCTGTGAAAATTATTAAAAAAAAACTAAACTATTTTGAAATAAAATCTGTAATAATTGTGAAGAATTTGAAGGGAAGCAATTCCAGATCTTGTGGGCTGAATAAATCATGCAAATAGTAGAATCTCAACTTTACCCAACACTTCACACAGCACAGTCTGTGATGCAACCACAATCACCCAAAACAATAAGCATATACATTTTGTCCTAAAGTTCAACCACGTGCAAGAAATTACCGCCTGTTTGGGTCACAGGTTGTGTTGCTAAAATGATTAACTAGAATTAAAATAAAATTAAAAAGTACCCATTTTACAGCAATATTGATCTTATTGAACAAATGCATAATTTTAATTTAAAATAAAAATAAATCGCTTTCCCAATTGACCAGTTCGTGATGCCATTCTCTCGTGTGAAATTAAGTCAGGCAACCAAATGCTTCGATCCTGGTGTGTGTGGACTTCGGTCCCGGTCTGTGTGGTTAGCTTACTGCTGGAGACTGCATGTGGATATTGAGCTTTGGTACCCCCCTGATCGAAAGCTTGCCAACACTTGTCCACTTGGAAGAGGTACAGGAGCGCAGCTGAAGCCCATGGAACCGAATGCCAGCAGGAGGCAGTGCCTTGGGGGAAGAGGAGAAAATTGTTACAAAGAGGACAGATACAAGTAAAATCTTCATTTGATTTCGATTTCCTTTAAAGTATTTACCGGTTTTGTTTTTCATTTCTCCTGTCCTCCCAGATTAGATTTTGAAGGTGGGAGTAAGTTTAACGTGATGTTTAATCGTCCAGTTTTTAACCAATTGCAATTCAAGTTTCGACACTTTGATGAGATCCTATCGTACATACTAATAGTTTTATTATTAATGCATTTTCAAGCATCAAAATGCAGAAGAAGCTCCGTTAGTGAGTTGATTTGTTGAGTTTATTTCCAGAGACGAAGAGCATCCCCAAAAAGTAAATGTATCCTTAATGGTTAAGACTGCCCTTTCCCAATGAATACACTGTTCAAAACACAGCCTCTTTACCAGGCGCTTTCTTATTAGTAAAGATTAATGTGACCCATTTTATAATAAAATAATTCTTGCATTTCATATAGCAATTTTCATGTCTTCTAGACGTCTCAAAGCACTTCAGACAATACTGTAAAGTGAATTGACTGTATATTTGTGGGCGAAACGCGGTAGCCAATTGCACACTGGAGTGTCCCACAAACAGTCGTGGATTGAAGTGACCAATTTATTATTATTTTTGTTCCTTGAGGTTTCTGCCAGGAATCGATTCCTGGGGTTTCGCTTGCGAGGCAAGTGCTCTAACCACTGAGCTCCACTTTCCTTTTTGCTAACATTTTTGCTGATATTTAAGTAAAGTTTCTGAAGCAAAGTGGTAATAATATTAATCCTTGCATTTGATATGGTGCTAATAACGTTGAGAACATTTCAAAGCACTTCAAAGTTTCTGTGAATAGTGGTGACTATTTGTAGGTGAACCTGGCAGCCAACTTGCATACAGCAAGAAACCGCAAACAGCCATGAAGTGAATTACAAATTTATCCAGAGGATTTCTGGCTGGAACCAGGAAAAACTCCCTCCTCTTTTCATATAGTGCAATGGCATCTTTTAAAGTCCACCTGTATAGGCAGAAGGGACCTTGGTTAACGTTGCATTGAAAGGGCAGCACCTCTGATAATGCATCTCTCTCGCCTCTGCATAATTCTATGGTGCGTGGCCCCAAACAGCACTACATTAAACAAAACCCAGCCAGCCATATTCTAGCAAGTTTATAACTGAGTTTTTTTTAAACAAGGCTGCTTTTCATCACATTCTGCCTGTAGTACTACTTGTTTGTGGTACTATTTGTTTGTACCAAAAAGTGACCTGTGCATTCAAGTGAATTAAATGGTCATAAAGAGAAGCCAAGAATTTGAGTACATAACCGTCTTTTTATAGGACTGTGACAAAGTTTGATTTCTGAAATGAATCTGCCTTTTTCCTTCAAGATGATTTCACTGGAAGCTGAACAATGTTTCACAGTATTTTAGTCATCTCTTAATCATCCCGTACAACAGATGTCAAATGCGACGAGTCAGGAAGGATATGGATATTGATTTACAGACTTTTCTCACAGATATCCGGACATGTAATATTGAGTAGAAGGAAAAGAGATGGACAACAAGAGGTTTAAAAGTGGTGGTGATCGAAGGCTGGGAAGAGAAGGAAAGAGAAACAATATGTTTTTCTTTAATAAAAATGTTTTCTGGTGCAATCCTATAAACTGAATGCTAGCTTCTAATATTGTGCAGATTATTGATAAACACTGCAACCGCAAAGCAAACCAAATAAATTAAAAACCCACACATACTCTGCCCACAAACACAATATACTACTTGACTGGCACTTACTCATGGCTACTTTATACCTATCTACACTACCTGCCAATTTACACTTACATAAATTCACATATAAACACCCATTCTCTCACACTTACAAATTAACTTACAGTTGTCTGTTCACACTTAGACACAGTCCTAGCCAATCTCCACACTTGCTAGGACTTGCCTGTAAACCACAGGGAAAATGAAACAGGCCAATTTTTAATCATTTAAAATACATGTTATTTTGCATACATGCATTTTAAAATTTAACTTGATTTTTGTTGACGGGGGGGGGGAAGAACTTGTGATATTTCAGATATAAAATCATTTACGCAGAAGTAAATTAATTTCTTTAAAGGCTTCTCTTTAAAATCTTTTCCAATTTCTCTAACTAGTATAGGCAGAGACAGCCAGTGGAGGTGGCACATACTTTGCAGAACTGGTTCCACTTATGATCATTTCATCCAATGATTAAAAGGAGTTTCATGTTGTGGTAATGAAATAAGATTAACAGCTGCCCATTATTTCACTTGTAGACACTCAAAAAAGAGTGTTACATGACTAACACTTAAAATAAGGTACATCCAATCCTATTGTGTGTTTGGTATCATCTCCTTTCTCCTCCACAAAAGTGTAGGAATACTACACATATATATATATATATAAGCAAGAAGCAATTGCAAGCTGAACTCCATATTATGTGAACATTTCCGCTTAAAATTTTGACTTGGAATTATACTTTTAAAAATTCCCCATGCCAAAAAGAACATTAATTCGGAACGACCAAGTACATGAAATAAAATCAAGATGTAAATGGCTTGAAATCCTTTAGTAAGACTGTTTTTGCATTTCAAAACAGATTTGCAGAATATAGAAGTTCGAAAATAGGCGAGCAGCAAAAACGAAGGGATGGTGGTGATGGGTAACGTGACAAAATCTGTGACACGAGAGTACAATTTCCTACTCAAATATGAAGAGTTCATTATATTAGAAGTTTGATTTTTAATCAAGAAACGAAGGTGCGTTGAAATCAATTATATTACAAATAAAAATACAAAAGCAGGAAAATAGTATTTTATTGGAACCACATTTTTTTCAAACCAGGGCTGTGACCATCTGCGCTATGCATCACATTGAAATTGTCCTGCATTAAAAATTCACCATCAAGTGAATTTTCAAGGGATTTGCAGTAATTAGATGACAAAATGCCGGCAAATCTCAGCCGCACTGAAGATGTTACTCTGGGGTCAAAGACTCAACACTTTCAGCTGGGTAATTTGTAAGTGTCAATCACGCGCAGCCATCAGAGAACAGATCTAACGGCTGAATTCTAAGTAACTTCACAACATAGCCTTCGGCTAGGCAGGCTGCTTGTGAAATACACGGGTATTTATTACAGGGGCCAAATTTGAAACAAGCTACATTTTTTTTTAATGCACATTATTATACTGACATGGCTTTTGAAGCCGACTGCTCATCATCATCATCCAGAGGTTCAGGTTTGAACCAACTACTACACTTATCCTCTACAATCATCAATATCACCTCAAAAACACGAAAGTAGTAAACACATCTTAATGTTGGTAAACAGACCCTCGCCCTAAGACCAGGATCATTATCTACATGACAAGAAGCTTACAACATGTTATTTTAAGTGGCTCACTAACACATCTGTTGTTTGGCATGATACTAAGTTCTCCTACACGGCATCAAATTTGAACACATGTAATTAGCTGCGAAAAGCAAAATAGAGTATTTGTGATAGCGGCACTATTGCTTATCACAAATTAATGATGCTCATTTCAAATTGACATCTCCATTAAAAGGGTAACTGCATTTTCCCTTTGCAGGTCAAATGGAACCAGAATAAACTGACATATCCTAAAGCTACAGTACATCAAATGTATTATGCAAAAAAGTCAGAGTGGGTCAAAGACTATGTAAATAATGTTGCAGAACCCTACAGGAAAAAAATGCTATCACGTTCGCAGTGATCATTGTTATATTTTGGCTGCTACGCAGAGCAAAGGATCACTTTGCATGCAGAAACCATATTTTATGGATAGACTCGATGCAGACAGAAATATTTCAGCTTTTCATAGAAAGTACAAATATGGATTTGCCAGTGTTGTCTGTGTCAAGTTCAAAGTTGGAACTCTACTCTTGCTTAATTTGATGTGCATTTCTTTTGTTTATTAAAAACAATTTCAATGCATTGTTCCTCTCTTTCACTCTCCAAATTAATATGTTTGCTATTTTGTGTTACTTTCTCCACTCACCTTCCTCCCTGATACCCTAGCTTTGCTTCCTCCCTTTCGATATAGTGCATTGTTTTATTTTCTATTATCAAAATGAGAAGCATTTCTGTATGTGTGTGTGTGGGGGGGGGGGGGGAGGGAAGGGAAAGAAAGAGAATCATCCATGAAGGATCTGGACTGGAACTAGTGTTTACTGACAATTTTCATTGCGAAGGAAAAAAATTGCACCTCCATTGTCATCTCCATTTTAACTGCGAATGCTTTTTTTTGCAACTTGAAAGACATTTCTTCCTTTAACCAAAAAACAAGATTAATTGATCATTCATTTTATTGCTGTGTGGTGGGGTATTTTTTTGCTGCTGTAGATCAAGTGCTGTCTTTTCCTACTTAACAGTCAATGCAGTGCAAAGTAACTCACTGTGTAAAGCCCTTTCAAGATAGTTCTATCTGATAAGGCGCTATATCAAATGCACGTATTATCTTCATCTTAACTGGTACTTTGTTAATCCTAAACCACACAGTGAATGGTAGAGATTGTGTTTGGGTCAAACTATATCTATTTTGTTTGTCAAACCAGAATCTGCATGACAGCTACTCACTGCATTTGCCATGCTCTCAGGCGCCTGACATTACTGCACTGAACTGCCTGCCAAAACACACACAAGAATGGCCCGAGGATGCCACTCCCTTTAATTTACTTCCCAGTGGGGAAGTGCCTGGCCCCCTGTTTGTTATTGCCCCACAGCATCGCTGCTGAGATCAGGCACTCAATGGCATGGGCGATCAAATCTGGGTCAAACCTGGTGCCCTAGCACACCGTGCCACTGTGTTACCTTGTGTGGCAGGGATCTTTAGGAGGTAGAGGCAATTTCCTGACCGACAATGGCACACAATGCAAAATAGGAGTAACTGTTAGTTTGGATCCATTCCATCTAAAGGCCATTTTGATTACAAAATACAAACAATTTTTAAAAATTGTAATGTGCTAAAT